ATAAAGAATACAGTCATGAAAAGGTCCAGACACATTTATTCTCTCATAAAACTTGAGTTTCCTTTCATAGACCACAGAATCAAATATTATAACTGGAAAGAACTACATAATTCATCAGGTATAATTTTCTTTTTTTATACCTAGAAAAGCTGAGGATCAGAGAATTTGAATGATAGACGAAGTTAGTTTCAACTTTCATATTTAATAGATTTTTAATTCAAAGCACCATTAGTATTTCTTTTTCTTTCTTGGGGGCAGGCTTGTCTTGCAGCTTAATCTGAGGGACCCAGACAAGAGATGCCTGCTTACTTTCATAGCTTCTTGATGGCCATTTTGTCTCACTGTCCTTCAGTATGAGCTTGGCTACCACCATCTCAAAGTTCTCCTGGGGGACACAGCCTCACTGTTCCCACAGGGCATACATGCCAGCTTCTGTGCACATGCCCTTCATTTCAGCCCTTGATGCTCCTGGCATGAGCTCAACACTTTTTCTCAGGTTGATTCCTTGGGGCAGGTTCATTTTCTGGAATGGATCTTCACAATGTCTAGACGAGTCTCCTCACTGGGGGGTAGGAATTCACTTTTTCGGTAAATGTGCACCAGGCAAAGCAGTGCTGTATCCAAGATTATCAATCCTACTAGTAGCCATGATAACCTTGATATTTTTGGCCGGGGCTGGGTTTGAACCTGCCACTTCTGGTATATGGGGTCAGTGCCCTACTCCTTTGAGCCCTACATCCATGTTCTTAACAGCTCCCTCACCAATCTTTCCCCTTCCCTGAGAAATTGCTATACAAACTCAGAGCCAAAGACACAAATGAATGTACAGTCCACATGATGAGACATAGCCAGGGCTGGCAGTGTCTTCCCAGTGCCAGGGGGGCCAGATAGGAGCACTACCTTGGGCTGTGCAATGCCCAGTGCTTCAAAGAGCTCAAGATCTTTAATAGGCAGCTTGATCACTTCTTTGATCTCCTTCATCTGCTTATCCAATCCACCAATCATGTTGTAAGTCAATTCTGGCATCTTTCTACCACCATCAGTGACGCTGGTCAGTCCACCTTGTTGAGCAGGATCTTATGCAAAGGGTAGCTATCCTTTCTTACAGCCACCTGACTACTGGGTGTCACATCATTGAGGTTGATGCTCTTATCTACATCTCCAGCAAGCCAGCCCTCATGATGCACCTCGACCAACACTTTCCTCTTGTCCACATCTACGACAAACTGCCTCATGATGTACCTCGACCAACACTTTC